TAAGTATTCTTGACTTGTGGTGTACACGTTGACACTTAAGTATTCTTGACTTGTGGTGTACACGTTGACATTTAAAATATTCTTGACTTGTGGTGTACACGTTGACACTTAAGTATTCTTGACTTGTGGTGTACACGTTGACACTTAAGTATTCTTGACTTGCAGGAGAACTTAACTGTTGCAGTAAATGGTATACAATGTTGCAGAAATCAAGCGATACAATGTACGTATTTTTTAATATATATATTCAGTGGTTTGAATTTCTGGTGCTTATTAAATAGATATTTCCGTTGGAGGAAAAATAAATACGCTTACAGTATGTACTTTATTTTCCAGTTGTGTTTCCCAATTGTTTTTAATTCTGAAATGTGTAGTTTCAAATTCCCTCTTACTGATAAACTTATATACAGAACGGGACGTTGAGTTTTACCACACGTGTTATTTCTTCTCAGATGTTTTACATGTCTCAGAGGTCTCTGAGGAGTTTTAAACAACTGAGAGACAGATATCCCAGGTCTGAGACTTACAGAGGTCTGGTCTGAGACTTACAGAAGTCTGTTCTGAGACTTACAGAGGTCTGGTCTGAGATACAGAGGTCTGGTCTGAGACTTACAGAAGTCTGGTCTGAGACTTACAGAAGTCTGTTCTGAGACTTACAGAGGTCTGGTCTGAGATACAGAGGTCTGGTCTGAGACTTACAGAAGTCTGGTCTGAGACTTACAGAAGTCTGGTCTGAGACTTACAGAAGTCTGGACTGAGACTTACAGAAGTCTGTTCTGAGACTTACAGAGGTCTGGTCTGAGATACAGAGGTCTGGTCTGAGACTTACAGAAGTCTGGTCTGAGACTTACAGAAGTCTGGTCTGAGACTTACAGAAGTCTGGTCTGAGACTTACAGAGGTCTGGTCTGAGATACAGAGGTCTGGTCTGAGACACAGAGGTCTGGACTGAGACTTACAGAAGTCTGTTCTGAGACTTACAGAGGTCTGGTCTGAGATACAGAGGTCTGGTCTGAGACTTACAGAAGTCTGGTTTGAGACTTACAGAGGTCTGGTCTGAGACACAGAGGTCTGGTCTGAGACTTACAGAGGTCTGGTCTGAGACACAGAGGTCTGGTCTGAGACTTACAGAAATCTGGTCTGTGACTTACAGAAGTCTGGTCTGAGACTTACAGAGGTCTGGTCTGAGACTTACAGAGGTCTGGTCTGAGACTTACAGAGGTCTGGTCTGAGACTTACAGAGGTCTGGTCTGAGACTTACAGAAGTCTGGTCTGAGATTTACAGAGGTCTGGTCTGAGACTTACAGAAGTCTGGTCTGAGACTTACAGAAGCCTGGTCTGAGACAAAGATCAGGTCTGAGACTTACAGAGGTCTGGTCTGAGACTTACAGAGGTCAGGTCTGAGACTTACAGAGGTCTGGTTTGAGACTTACAGAGGTCTGATTGAAAGTTGTGTAAATTTGTGCCACTCATGGGTCTGAATAAACTAGAGGTGTATTTGAGTGTCTCCAGGGTCCGGATGAAGGAGAGGTGTGTAGGAGTGTGGCTCTCTGGAGTCCGGATAACAGAAGTATGTTAATGGTGTGGCCTCCGGGTTTGGGTAAAGGAGAGGTACAGCCATTGAAAGACGTCAGTGACCCGGTTCTTACGAGGGAACACATCCCATTGTTTCCCCCAGAGCCGTCTGTCTCTAGCTTTGAGGTCCTGCTCTCCTTCCCGTCCTACTCTCATACCCTCTTGCTCTTCTACCCTCCCTCTATCCTCCCATTTTTACCCTTCCCCTCTCCTGCTTTCCAACCTTCCAACTCGCCTCCTCTTCTGACTAACATTTTTCTCTGTAGTAGAGCTTTCTTATTGATTTAATACAGGTGTATATAGAACGAAACAGTGTCATAATCAAAGCTTGATCTGCACCTTTGCCTTCAGCACAGTAACTAGGTACATGTTATGGGTGGCACTCTGAGGAAGGGAGGTCGTATTCCTTAAATAGGGCTTGGCATTGACATGAGCTGAGGTGGGATAATAGCCCTAAGCCTGTAAATGATCTGTGTAGAAAAAAAATGAGGAAAAGAACACAGAGTGAAGATGAAATAGCGAAAAAGAAAAGGTGAATGTTGTTGAGAAGTGAAACAGGGAGCATTAGTGGGTCGTATTTAGGATTCCGGAGGCAAGGGGAAGTACCAGAAAGGATCAAGCTACGATGAAGTAGGATCAGGGAGGATCTGGAGCAAGACCACGACTAACCCTGGTGAACAAGTTAGCAAGATCTCTTGCTTCACCACACTATGATAACTGCTGATCCCCAGGTCTTACATTTAAAAGTCAACACAAAGCTAAAGTATTCGTCTGCAGGCTTCCTGTCTCTCAAATTATTATCATTATATTTGAAAGCACAAAATCATCTGGGGGTCGTAGAGCGCCAGAGGTAAAGCCTCCTGCTCTTCTGTCCTTTACTCACTCATAAATGATACAAATACTCCTTAATCTAGACAGTGGATAGTTCTCAGCAGATAGCCTCATCAGAACTTCCAAGTTCTCTGTTATCTTATGTATTCCATGGGAGGGGGGGTACTTCTAACTCTGTATCAAGAGCCCTCCATCAGCATCAAGGTACACCATGAGTCTGTCTCAAAAGGGATTTTTTTCGTTTCCGATCTTTACAAGCCGTCTGTTATTCTTCCATCAAGAGTGCTTTGATGCTTTTGAAGAGCTCTTAATCCAAGGAATTAGAGCTACTATCCCTCTCCCAGGAGCAAACTTAGTTACCTCCCATTTCTCAGGCGCTGTATGACCTTTACGAGTTTAGCGCTTCCTCGTGAACTTAAAAACAATGTCTTATTCTCCCTGGCAAGTGTTCAGATAATTTACTGAAATTATTTACCCTGCTGACTAGTAATTTTGTTAAAAAATATATTTATTTACTACCATAAAAATATCAACCTTAACTTTTCGTGTTCAATTATTATGTTATTATCATATCAGTCACCTTATCTCACACTACTCGCATGTCTCTCGCTGTGCTATTATCTCTCTTCCTACTTTCCTTAGTCCTGTTTATCACTATTCTCCATAAACATCTTTCTCCTGCCTCCGCTGGGAATTCTGGATGTGCTTTTCATACTTGGCGGGAACTGACGTCATACATTGTTTACATTATTTCCCGCTCTTTCCCGCATGTAACTTTACGCGGGAATCTCTCCATTTTGGCGCGAGTTTCAGTCTGAACAAATAAAAACAAAAGAAACGAGATTGAGTTGCGGGTGATGGTGGTTGGGGGCGTGGATGGTGATGATAGTAGTAGTTGTTGTTGCCTTGGTGGTTTTGGTTGTGTTAGCACTAGTAGTCGTAGTGATTGTGAGGGCAGTTCTAGAGATGGTGATAGTTGTGGGGATGATAGTTGTAGTGACGGTTGTATTGATGGTGCTAATTGTAGGAATGATAGTGGTAGGAATGATAGATGGCAGCCAGTAGCAACTACATCTTAGTGTCTGCCATGTCTTCTGCTACATGCTGGTAGTTGTATTGATGGAGGAACTGTAGTAATGGTATTAGTTGTGGTGATGGTAATTCTAAAGATTGTGGTAATGTAGTAATGGCGGTAGTTGTAGTGATGACAGTTGTACTGATGGTGGTAGTTGTAGTAATGGTGGTAGAACATGGTGTGGTCTTACACGGCCTGTAGGTTATTGCTCTCATAATCATTAATACTGAGCCATTAAATGCCCTCTCCTTATTGAACCAACCTTCTAGTCTCTCTCTCTCTCTCTCTCTCTCTCTCTCTCTCTCTCTCTCTTCTTGTTCTCTCGGTTATACACACCTTTTCCTTGTCTTTTTACTCTCCTCTCTCTTCTCCACTAATTCAGCTCTTCATCTTTTTAATTCTCTTCCTCCTCTGCTTCCCTTCCTCCTCTGCTTCTCTTCCTCCTCCGCTTCTCTTCCTCCTCTGCTTCTCTTCCTCCTCTGCTTCTCTTCCTCCTCTCCTCCCGCTGATTTATATAAATACAGTCTGGCAATACTTATTTACATAGGATATTATACATAAATTATCATTTATATTATACACATTAATAAAGGTCTCTAACCTGGAGTCCACGGGCCACTGAGCTAAGCTCAGGGGGCCCGTGGACCCCTAAGCTAGGTTCCGGGGGCCCATGGACCCTTAAGCTAGGTTCTGGGGGTCCATGGACCACCGTGGCAGTTCTTGGATTATATACACAAAACAGATAGCAAATTTAACTAAAATATCCCCCAGTGAAAAGCAGGGGAGCCACTAGCAAGATAAGAGACAACACAATAAGTGTCAGGGGCCCAGGACTGTTCAACTGCCTCCCAGCATACATAAGGGAGATTACAAATAGACCCCTGGCTGTCTTCAAGCAGGCACTGGACAGGCACCTAAAGTCAGTACCTGACCAGCCGGGCTGTGGTTCGTACGTCGGGTTGCGTGCGACCAACAGTAAAAACCTGGTTGACCAGGCCCTGATCCACCATGAGGCCTGGTCTTAGACCGGGCCGCGGGGGCGTTGACCCCCGGAACTCACTCCAGGTATAGTCCAGGTACGGCTGTTCAGTCCTAGTCTCGCATGTACCCCAGACTCGGGCCACCATCCGTATGTCTCCAACAACCTGGTGGATCCTCTATTGTGAAGCGCTAAACCCATGCGAATCAACGCAAGGAATGGTGGAGGAACAATCTTCTTTTCGCTATACGAAAATACTGACGCACTGTTGTTATTATTCTATGGTTGAGTGAGTGCTAAATCCGTAGGGGATTTACAATGCCTGGATAAAGTAGGTGAGGATCGTAACACAAGAGGTAAACAGTGTTGGTAAAACAGTGTTACAAGTGAGTGTAACACAAGAGCTAGAGCTGATAAAACGGTATTACATGTGAGGAATGTAACACAAGGCTAGATAGTGCTGGTTAAAAAGTGCTACAAGTGAGGAGTGTAACACAAGGCTAAAGAGTGTGGAGTTAGTGTTGTCGTGTGGTGTGTTGCAGGTGATCTATGCGCTGCGTGGGTGGATCGCGTTCGTGGCCTTCATAGACCTCGGGATGGCTGTGCAGTGCTTCCTTGATGCTGACTCCTTCCTTGGATCTCAACTCTACACAGCAGGAGACATCGCTGAGCATGGTCAGTGTCCTCTCTCATCTAGCATGGTCAGTGTCCTATTTCATCCAGCATGGTCAGTATCCTCTTTCATCCAGCATGGTCAGTATCCTCTTTCATCCAGCATGGTCAGTATCCTCTTTCATCCAGCACGGTCCCGTATCCTCTCATCCAGCACGTCAGTGTCCTCTCTCATCCAGCACAGTCAGTGTCCTCTTTCATCCAGCACGGTCAGTATCCTCTTTCATCCAGCATGGTCAGTATCCTCTTTCATCCAGCACGGTCAGTATCCTCTTTCATCCAGCACGGTCAGTATCCTCTCATCCAGCACGGTCAGTGTCCTCTCTCATCCAGCACAGTCAGTGTCCTCTTTCATCCAGCACGGTCAGTATCCTCTTTCATCCAGCACGGTCAGTATCCACTTTCATCCAGCACGGTCAGTATCCTCTTTCATCCAGCATGGTCAGTATCCTCTTTCATCCAGCACGGTCAGTATCCTCTTTCATCCAGCACGGTCAGTGTCCTCTCTCATCCAGCACGGTCAGTGTCCTCTCTCATCCAGCATGGTCAGTGTCCTCTCTCATCCAGCACGGTCAGTGTCCTATTTCATCCAGCACGGTCAGTGCCCTCTCTCATCCAGCACGGTCAGTGTCCTCTCTCATCCAGCACGGTCAGTGTCCTCTCTCATCCAGCACGGTCAGTGTCCTCTCTCATCCAGCACGGCCAGTGTCCTCCCTCATCCAGCATAGTGAGTGTCCTCTCTCATCCAGCACATTCAGTGTCCTCTCTCATCCAGCACGGATAGTGTCCTCTCTCATCCAGCACGGTCAGTGTCCTCTCTCATCCAGCACGGTCAGTGTCCTCTCTCATCCAGCACGGTCAGTATCCTCTCTCATCTATCACGGTCAGTGTCCTCTCATCTAGCATGGTCAGTATCCTCTTTCATCCAGCACGGTCAGTGTCCTCTCTCATCCAACACAGTCAGTGTCCTCTCTCATCCAGTACGGTCAGTGTACTCTCTCATCCAGCACGGTCAGTATCCTCTCTCATCTAGCACGGTCAGTGTCCTCTCATCTAGCATGGTCAGTATCCTCTTTCATCCAGCACGGTCAGTGTCCTCTCTCATCTAGCATGCTCAGTATCTTTCATCCAGCACGGTCAGTGTCCTTTCTCATCTAGCATGGTCAGTATCCTCTCTCATCCAGCACGGTCAGTGTCCTCTCTCATCTAGCATGCTCAGTATCTTTCATCCAGCACGGTCAGTGTCCTCTCTCATCCAGCACGGTCAGTGTCCTCTCTCATCCAGCATGGTCAGTGTCCTCTCTCATCCAGCACAGTCAGTGTCCTCTCTCATCCAGCATGGTCAGTGTCCTCTCTCATCCAGCACGGTCAGTGTCCTCTCTCATCCAGCACGGTCAGTGTCCTCTCTCATCCAGCACGGTCAGTGTCCTCTCTCATCCAGCATGGTCAGTGTCCTCTCTCATCCAGCATGGTCAGTGTCCTCTCTCATCCAGCACGGTCAGTGTCCTCTCTCATCCAGCACGGTCAGTGTCTTCTCTCATTCAGCATGGTCAGTGCCCTCTCTCATCCAGCATAGTCATTGTCCTCTCTCATCCAGCACGGTCAGTGTCCTCTCTCATCCAGCATGGTCAGTGTCCTCTCTCATCCAGCACGGTCAGTGTCCTAGTTCATCCAGCACGGTCAGTGTCCTCTCTCATCCAGCACGGTCAGTGTCCTCTCTCATCCAACACGGTCAGTGTCCTCTCTCATCCAGCATGGTGAGTGTCGTCTCTCATCCAGCACGGTCAGTGTCCTTCCTCATCCAGCATGGTGAGTGTCCTCTCTCATCCAGCGCGGTCAGTGTCCTCTCTCATCCAGCACAGTCAGTGTCCTCTCTCATCAAGTATGTTCAGTGTCTTCTCTCATCAAGCATCGTCAATGTCCTTTCTCAGACGTGCAGGGTGAATTTATTGAGAAGTCTTCTTACATCCGCTATCTCTATTCACCAAGCCATAAGTAGGTACCTCGGTGTTAATCGCCTGTTGCAGGTATAGCTTCTTGAGGGGATGGTTGAATGCTACAACAAGCATCTGAGACTCGAATGCCCTCGCTCTAATGTGAGAACTAATGATGCTGTAAAGTCAGTACAAATCAGTGTACTCACAACTCGCAGAGTTCATGCACACGTCGTTTTATCATGGGTCATCCCTTGGTTGAGCTGGGCTGGACGTGAGTGTCTGGGTTTTCTCATGCCACAGAACGATTCTGAGACGATTCTATGCATACTGAGGACAGGGCCACTCTGTAACCTCTGGCGACCGTCTCTCTCCTGTCGTTCCTTCTTCCCTTCCCACTCCCCCATCCTCCTGACGTCTCTTATTTCTTTCCTGCGTTCTTGCTTTCCGCCCTTCTACCTGACATCCCTACCTGGTCTCCTCTTTCTTCTGACATCCTTCGTTCCTTGCCTTCCTTCATGGCCTCCTTATTTACTCCTGGCATCCTTCTTTCCTTGCTTTCCTTCCTCTTTCCTTTCTTTTGCCATCCTTCCCCTTGTCATCCTTCCCCGTGCCACTCTCCTCTTACCATCCCTCCCTGTCCTCTAGTAGTGTGTCTTCTCTGGCTTGGTCTGGTGAGGTCTCCAGGATAGCATAACCAGTGTTACTAAGACACTCATGGTATCTTGTATGACCCCTTAATGGTTATGATCCTCTCCCCTTGCATGTGCAGGTGCTGGCTGATGGCTGTGTCTTGTGTAGGTGATGACTGTGTCTTGTGTAGGTGCTGGCTGATAGCTGTGTATTGTGTAGGTGATGGCTGTGTATTGTGTAGGTGATGGCTGTGTCTTGTGTAGGTGCTGGCTGATGGCTGTGTCTTGTGTAGGTGCTGGCTGATGGCTGTGTCTTGTGTAGGTGCTGGCTGGTGGTTGTCTTGTGTAAATGATGGTTGCGTCTTGTGTGTGTGCTGGCTGTCTTATGTAAATGATGGCTGATGGTTGTGCCTTGTGTAAGTGTTGGCTGTGTGACGAAAGGAATAGATTCAGAAGTGTCCTTGTTTGCAGACTATGTGAAGCTAATGAGGAGAATTCAGTCGGATGAGGATCAGGCAAGACTACAAAGGGATCTGGACAGGCTGCAAGCCTGGTCCAGCAACTGGCTCCTCCTGAAGTTTAACCCAACCAAGTGCAAAGTCATGAAGATTGAGGAAGGGCAAAGAAGACCGCAGAGAGAGTACAAGCTAGGGGGCCAAAGACTGCAAACCTCATTCAAGGAAAAGGATCTCGGGGTGAGTATAATACCGAGCTATGACTAGACCCCTGTAACCACTATTAGGTGAGTACACACATAGCTTTAAGAAGAGGTTCGATAAAGGTCATGGAAAAGGAGAAGAGTAGACCGAGAAGCGACCAGCGAAGGGGCAGAGCCAGGAGCTATGAATCGACCCTCTGCAGCCACAAGTAAGTGAGCATACACACATATTATTGGAGTGAGTTAAACAAGTTAAGAAAGCCTAGGGAAAGTATGGATTTGTCAGTTAAAAACAGAGTAGGGGAGTTAGTAGATGGGGAGAGGGAGGTATTAGGTAGATGGCGAGAATATTTTGAGGAACTTTTAAATGTTGAGGAAGAAAGGGAGGCGGTAATTTCATGCACTGGCCTGGGAGGTATACCATCTTTTAGGAGTGAAGAAGAGCAGAATGTAAGTGTGGTGGAGGTACGTGAGGCATTACGTTGAATGAAAGGGGGTAAAGCAGCTGGTATCGTAGGGGTTCTTAATGGAGATATCGAGGGTTGAAGGTAGACACACTTGTTGGATGGTAACATATATTGTCAGACTGTGATGATGAATGTGAAGCCCAACCTCTGCCTGTCTTCGCCTGTCTAGGTCTACACGTCATCTGAGACCGGGGCAGAGGTACGAACGTGCACATGCGCATCCCGTGACGTCACACAACAGTCACAGGCCTAAAAGGGATCTCCTATCTAAAGCACATGGATGATACTATATGCTATGCTATATAACACAGGGATCAGCAATTATGCTGACAGCTCGGTCATGTTACGTATGTCGTCTCGACATACGCTACTATCTATAGGCTGAACAGGCAGGCGGTTCTGGGCTGATTCTATACAATAACAAATTCATATATAACTTAGAATTAATGGATGGTATCATAATGGATGTAAACAAAATGAGTTTTGCGTAATGGGTGTTAACGTAATCACTTTTAACATAATGCATTACAAACTATAAGATCAAATCATTGTACAATATGGATGGAATTGATCAATCGATCTGTATTCATGCACTCTACGGATTCTGGTGCGCATCTGGTGCGCACTCAGATCATTACTGTCAAATTCTCAGAATACGGAGGGAACGTGAATACGAAAAAAAAAAAATTTCTGAAAAAGCTTATCAGTTAATAACAAACAGTTGACAGTTTACTTCATCTCGGACATCTAGTTATACAGACTATGTACATTTAAACCCAATTCTGCGAGGGTGAGGTTTACATATGCAGAATGGTTATCATCTCTGGGAGGATTGAATTCCTCTGCAATGACTAACACATGCCTTGACTGAGGGAGATCTGAACGAGTATCTACAAAAGATACTTGTGGGTTTCTCATTACTTGTCGAGTAGCAAGGAGTAACGACATTCAGGTTGGTTATCTGACTGAGAAATTTTGAGGTAGAGGGGTACAGAGTCAAGAGGATTTTCAGCATCTGTCACATTAGTCTGGGTAGCAATATCATCAACATCGCATACTAATTTCATATGATCTAAATGTGATTCTTTGTACTTACCAGTACTAATTTCTCTAACCTTATACTTATTACCAGAGATATGTTCTACAACTTGATAAGGTCCGACCAACTTTTGATCGAGCTTAGGCATTTTGGATGTTTTGTTGAAATTTGTCAGCATTACTCTTGAACCTACTTTGACTTTTGATGGCTTAGCATGGCTATTAGTTACTCTAGTAAATTCTGCTGTTGATTTGTGAAGTGTTTCACGGATTC